ACATGAGAGAATACCTTTCTAAGAATTGTCTCTTTAACTTTCTAAGAGTGAATTAATCTGTCACCCAGCTCATAGAATTATGTAGGAATGATGCACGGGTCTGATTAACGGATGTTACCGTAACCACCGTAACAGTGATTTTGTACAGATTACATAGTGTTTGCCCTTACTGCTCAAGTGTTTCCTAACATGAGCACACCACAATCTTGAGATAGCGCTTATTTTGAGATTTGAACTCAGGTCGCAGAATTCAGAGTCTTGAGTACTAACCGTTACACCACGGGACCGAACCGATTTTATGCTTCAGCAGATTACGATGGCTTGCTATAGCTACTGGGGCATTCGTTCAATCATTATAGAATGGAATCTTATCTCATCAAAATCCCTCGACTATGCTATTGCTTGGACTTACATCTCCAAAATTGGCTATTTTTTCTTCAAAGTCTGTAATACTTTTTATTGAGAGCTTTAACTTCGTAATAAAGTGAGAAACCTTCAGAATTCTTTTGAATTCGGATTTGCTCATCATGAAAAGACTCTTTGAGACGCAACGCGAAAGGTTTCGTATAATGACGCTTGCAGAAATGTTCTAGAAAGATTGAACTTCATTTTAGTAGAAACAATAAGAAATACACTCAGCATCGTTTGTAAAAACGCGTTTCCTGCAAAGCTTTACAGTATGCTACCGTACTCCATTGCAACGCGCCGCGCTAGGTCGTGCGCTGTCGCCTTTTTCCAAAGATGTAGTATTCCAATTGAACGCCTTGTAATCTGCAGAAGGCCAATATGTCACGTTGCTTCAAATCTTGTCTTTACTGCACTCTTTTATACTGCACTTATGTAATTTGAATACACGCCGTTTTGCGTCATTTTTTCGCCTATAAGACGGAGCAAATCTTGGTCCAGAAACTAGATTTGGTTATGAGCCCATATGGAGAAATATGATCCTTCAACGGCTTTTTTGTTCCGCGCAGCTTCAATAAATCTTGTGTGCATAAAGCAGTTTTGATATATTTATGGTTTTGGCTTTAAGTGGAGCGATTTCTAGGCTGGAGAAGAGGTTATTGCAATGGTTTTTGGAAATAGTAAGCAGTCGTTTAGCTCATACTAATCCGAACGTTTCAACTAAATAACATAGTTTTTCATTTTACAAGCTTCTTGCATGACTAGGAACAGACTGTTCATATTCCTTTAAATCCCCTTCAATCCACTCCATCCTTCATCCTTGCAATTTTTTTGTACTTTATGCAAAATGTTTGACAGTGTACAAAGGTTTACTTAGTCAGACGACACTCTGTTCAAATTTTTAAGAGTTCTTTTCAAAAGGCACTTAACGTTAAAACTTTGATGAGAAAGGATTTGTATGGAAATGCATGGCACAATTCTCGACGAGTTGCTAAATCTTTATTTCTTGTGGTTGAGATTGTCTGGAGATTTAGCCATTTCCTTCACTACCTCTAATCATTTGTTTGCAACTTTTGTTTCCTTTCTTCAAAGCACTCTTGGTACATATCAGAAGCGGCAAAATGGATCTGTTCACAATTTGCATTGGCACAAAATTATTTTCCTTGCTTCAACTTTCCTGACGAACTTGAGCACAACTCATACTGCGCTCGCCAAGTCTGACTGGCACTAATTTTTTTTTGCTAAGCGGAGCTTTTTTGAACCTTTTTGGACTTCATTACCTCTTTTAGTTTATGGAAAAACCACAGCCAACCAACAATGAACAAAAAAACTAACTTTTGCCTCAAAAAGGTCTCCCCAGGTAGTGTATCTTCAAAATGGTTCAAAAGAAAAATATTTCATGAAATTTTGGATATTTTCAAAGATTTCATTCAAACATTTTCGATCCATCTTCCACTGCACCTCTTCTCCCAGTCTCTCCTGCGTCCACTGTCCGGTCAATAGTTTACTATTTACGTGAATTTATCCTTCAATTTTATTTTGTCTTTTCCAAATCTTCTTCTTTTTCTTTTGACGCAAAACTTCTTGACCAAAATGTGGCTAATCACCATCTCTATTCGTCATCATAGTCAAGATTTGTTCATTTTATACTTTTTTTGAGTCGTAAAAGGAACGACTCTTAAAGACATCGTAATTCAAAAGGAGGGAACTCATATCTTAAACAGTTAATTTCTGTAAACTCAGCAAGTGGGACATTTTAGAATAATATTTAATGTAACCGATATTTCTACAAAAGGCAGAACAGCTATATCTGCTATATTGGGACACCAGTGGCGGTCCTAGGATTTCCGTCCGGGGAGGGGGCGGCAAAACTTTTTTCAAATGAAAGTGCATGACGTCAGCCACATACTCCGGAAACATTTTAGGGGTGCTTTTCAAAATTTTTTGTGAGTCCTCAACCGCTAAGCCACCCTACATCTCGTTCTATATGTCAATTTAATTCGTTAATGTGAGAATGCTGGAAAATGCAAGCCATAATTCCACATTAAAGTCATTGTTTTGTCTTCGAACGCAACTTAAAAATCTCCGTAGCCATCTTTGAGTAGAGTTCCTTACGTACAATCTATGTCGCGCGAGAGAGCAAAACTTTGTTGCGAAATTATGGTTTGTATTTTCCAGCATTTTCGCATTATCATGAATTTTATTGATACATACAACGAGGCGTTTTCTACAGCTCATTAGCGATGTGGAAAGAGCTTATCTGTAAAGACGATGTTTTCATTTTTGTTTTAGCCATAGTTTCATAATTTTTTCTAAAACCTAATTTTAGCTCCATCTAATACTTCTAGTCTTGATACCAGTGTAATCAGAAAGTCCATATGTTCTTATCTGGTTATCCGCCACCAAATAAGCTCGTCATCATGATGATTTGTGCTATTTTGCGTAATGAAAGATGTCTAAGAGAGTCTGCAAATCCTCAGAGTGCATGTGGTATTAATGGCTTGAGCAGGGGAGGGAAGAAACGAATTAGCAGAGCAGACACGGCCATCGAAGAGAGAAAAGAAATCCGCTCATAGCCTAAGGGGCTTCACATCGAGAACACACAAGAGCCGATTCTTCGCATTTCCTAAGGTTTTTCATTCGCGTAGCGATAGCCATTGAAAAGAGCGGAGGCTTTTTCGCAAGTGGCTCGTTTTGCGCCGAGAACGAGCACACATTCCTTTTAAGTTGAGTTTTGTCATTTGGCTTTTGCGCAAAATTATAGGCCGAGCTCAGATTTTCTAGCTCAACCCATCTCTATCTGCCTAGTAGTGTTTTTCGAGCTGAGTTAAGCCGGAATGTTGCCCAATTTCCCGTTGATTGCGTCGTTTCCCGTCGAGTCTCATCGGATGGCATCATCCGAGCCGCTTTTCGCGTCTCTTTTGACTCTTCATCCCTCTTCTCTCGACGATCGATGTGCCCCCCTAGCTGAAGGCGTTTCTTCTTATTATCTCTCCCTCCTCACACCCTCACCCCCTCACTGACAAACAAATCTCTCAAAAACGACCAAGCCAAGACTTCTATCAATCTGTCGAGTTAGCCGAACTAAGCCATCGCTCCTTGCTGCCCCACACGAATCAGCATTCACTTCCCCCTCACTTGCGCAAATGCGCTGCTATACGAAACCCCTATCATCTGTTTTTTTTTAAGATTTTTGGCAGGATCCTCTTTCATGTTGCCTGGAGATTGCTTTACGAAAACACTATCATTTTTTTTCAATCATTTTCTCTAATGCCTCGTGTCTGTTTTGAGGAGATTAAAAATTATCATTTTTTAAAATTAGTCTTTACATCTTTACGGTTATCGCAGACATGTTTGATAATCTGAATGATAGTTCTCAAATGAATCATCTCTAGTTTTTTGTCCCCTTTGGTTTTGAGTGGCGAACATGCAACAACGGAAGCATCGAATTGCAAACGATCTAAAAAAAGGTGGTCCCGATGCCACCTGAATTTTCCCTGGAGCCGAAAATTCTGGAAGTGTTGAATTAGTTAAACAAATTTTCCCGTTGACAGCAGCAATGAACTTGCCAACAATTTGTTATCTGCCATTTTTGTGTAAATGGTACCTAGAGTACGCATTGCTCAACCTATGGTATATTAGACGTTTGAAAAACTCCATTCCACATGGCTTTTTTGCTGAAATAAATTTGTCTCCAGTCTACCTTTCTTATCCCATCTATGACAGTAAGTGCGGTGGTTCGCGACAATTTTGAAAACAAATTTTTCTTGGCTTCATATTCGTGGGCTCTTTATAATCAGTCACCGTAAATTTTATAAAATCCAAGCTACATGCAAACATTTTTATATTATAAAACGTCTGCGACGGATGACGGAACTGATTAGAAGCCAGCGGTGGAAATTGCAATAATTTTCCATCTATTGCAATATTCCCTTTTCTTATCGAAGACGTTTGTGTGCACTCTCTTTCCGTTAAAAAATTTTTATTCAGAGCTTTGCTTCATCTAGATTATTGTGACGTGATATAGACCTTGATAGTATGCAGCACTTGTTTCTTTTCAATTGACGTATGTGTGACTAATTTTCTGATGTTCATTAGACAGGATTCGTAAAGCTAAGAAAAGCTACATACATATCTATAAAAATCAAGTAAAAATTCACTCGTTTTTGCCTTGATACACTTTACGATTCCTCCGTCATCTGATAGCATTTTAATTTCCTCAATATCATTCTTCCATTGCATTTCACATATTACGGTAACGCTTGCGATGTGCTTTGATTTTACGTTCGTTCGTCTATAGCGACTTAGTCACTCCAAAAAATTTGATATGAAAGGGACGCTTAGAATTCGTTTCTTCATCACAAAACGTTTATCTTTTCGAAGACATTGCAATGCATTGGAAAGTCTTCTTCTATATTTGCTGAGCAATTTTTTGCGCGGGAATGTCCTTTGTCTAACCTTTCGCAACATAGCGGTATTGGGTGGGCGTAACGCACTAAACTAACCTAAGCAAGTTTATCTCAGTGTAAACGAATTTACGTTTGAATCGATTCCACATTTATCCATGATTCTGACTACAAAGAGAAAATTCGGACATGCAATTTGAGCTCGTAAGGCTCATAATTTTGCTTAAAAAGCCTCAGGTATTTTGGTTGGTTTTAGATTTGAAATCGGCATTACCTGAGTCATGAATGCATTCTATTTGGAACAAAAATTCCGCTTAACATCACCATTATTTTATAGACCTTGTGGTTTCTAGCTCTTTTTTATTTTTCCTCGTAATTATTGGTTGTTCAAAGGACTATCATAAGCTATGAAAGAGCATGGGAGAATGTGAGGAATTGATTTCAAAAACAAAAATAGAGCCTGCTAGATAAGGTCAGGGCCCGGCAGGAGGTGGCATTTCAGAATTTTGAAAACGATATCCCCTTTGAAGCCAAAATTTCTTACGACTTCCCCTTTGACCCTATTTTTGACCCCCGTAAGTCCCTGACAAACAGATATACACAAATAATAAGACGGGCGGCCTCAGCGCTTATTATAGTAGTACTACCTGGCTTTTCTGGTCCAGCCCGGGTCATCGTTTGAGGTGATGGCCAAAAACCACACTTTGTCCTTCTACCTTCCCCTTCTTTTGGGCCATATTCTCCACCCCTTTTCTGCAGTATCAATACTGCACTGCAGCCCTCCCCCTTACCCTCCTGCACGAGCTTATCCCAGAAAGGCTTATTGGAGTGACTGCACCTTCTAATTTTAAAGTAGAAATGAACTTCACTGCATTGTTCACACCAAAATGTGCAAGCAGTTTGTTAGCGGCTGGTAATTGTTCACTATCCTTGCAAGGTGCCAAAAATCATTAAATCGATAGAAGAATTCCACGAATTGCTTCGAAGGATAGCTTAAAACCATCTACCGAGGCCGAAAACATATGTTTTCAAGGTTTCAGCTCAATGGGTTCATCCGCAAAGGAATCTATAAAAAAACATAGTCAAGATTTGCACAAACTTTGACGTTTATATATCTAAGATACTACTCATTTATTAGTCAGCTGCGAAACTTTACAATTTACTATAACCGATTGCGATTGGAGCGCGCTTTCCGAGGCCGATCATAACGCTGTGAACCCTATTTGGGGCTGTATCGAAGCGGTGCCTTAGTGGTTTTGGAAGCGGATTTGAACATAATGTAATGCTCTCGACCTAGTCCACATTTATGTAAAGAAATCCGGGAAATTATGTGAAGGGAAGCAGGGAACCACCCCAGGTTGCTCCCAGGTGGCGCGGGAGCCACCTAATTTCGAAAAACACTTACCATTTTTTAAATTCACTTAAGTTTCTCATAATTCTTCATACTTTTTTTGTGCTCATGGTCCTCCAACTATACTATAGCAAATTTGGTGCCATATTGTTACTTGTGCATTGAAAACGAGCCTATTTTGTTATTTTCCTCTTACAAGAATTGCGATTTAAATTCCCGCCTGCGGGCAGGCTAGCGATCGGAGCACAGAATCTTCACATTGCTGGAATCTAAGTTCATAGGACAGTAGCATCAACAAGGAATGATGAATAAAGAATGATATGTGCATTGTTTATCGGTAAACAGAGGGGAAGTCGTATTTTGGGGTCCCCAAAATACGACTTCCCCTTTGCTTTTTCGGGCCAAAAACGATATCCAGCTTGTGAAAGCGCCACCCCCGCCGGGCCCTGGTTAAGGTTAGGATGAATCTTGGAGAAGGGGATACTGATACTTCCTCTTCGCTATTATAATCATTATAGAATATTTTTTTTGTCGGGGAGCTTAATTCAGGTTTATTAATTATTTATTTACCATTTTTGGCAACAATTATCGAGGGTTCAAAGTCTTGAAATTTATCAACTTTCGACATAATATCTTCACAATTCATTTGCATGTTCGTTGCGCGTTTGTCTGATAGAAATCTCATTTTTTGATTGGTACAGAAACATAAATCTTCTACGCAACAAAAAAGAAATAAATGATAGGTAATTAAGTGCAGATAGTATTTAGCTGCCCTTGTACACGTTCTGAAAGTACGTCCAAATTTTGTAGAAATTCGTCCAAACTCTGATCTGTGTTGTTTCATTCATTGTTGTATCTCATTGACAACAGAATTTCCTAATATTTATTTGAATGGGAAACGTCGTATGTTTGCTGACGTTTATAACATTTTTTTGTGACGACTGTGTCTTTGTTTTCCCGTGGAACTCACCATCAACGCATTTTCTACTTTTGATCTTCGCAGATTTCGTTCACAAAATGATTTGATCTACGTTAGATCAGAAAAGTTTAATGAATTTTTGCAGATTTCGATGAGCCACTGAATTTATCGTCGAAAACATTCAGTCTGCGGCATGGCATCAAGCCCATGGTAAGTCAAGCTTTTCAATTTAATATCAGATTTCTACTGAATATAATTCTTCTTTGCTTTACACGTCATTCCTTTTCTTCCATTCTCTTTATTTTTGCAAACGAAAGCATTCTATGACTACATTAAGCTTGCCTCTTTGTCAATAAATCTTCCTCTTTCTACCCTGATAATGTTCGTTTGAAGCTTGCAATCCGATGCCATATCGGGTTGCAATGCGCTCTGTCTTAGCTTTTGCTCATATTGTCATTTTGCATGTTAGAATTTTTCTCAAACAAAGGACCACTTTTTTGTGAGTTTATCGACTGATGAGTTTGTATATGATTCGACTCTTTCTCACGATTTCCTTCATACAATTATTTCATGACATAGGCACAATTGCAACACATTTATAGGAATATGGAAATATTGCGATCTAGGATTACCATCACTATTTTTTTGCAATTTGTTTATAATGGAATAGATAGCAGTGGGTAGGGGACCATATTTCGCCGAAAGTGAGAGGTCCCGCCGGAATTCTGCAACAAATACATATTCCATTACATGCACAGGCTGAGTATCTGATGCATTATCCACGCGGGACCCTTCTACTTTCGGCGACATATGGTCCTCTGCTCGATAGAATTCGCACAATTTCCGATGACAGGAAAAATTCTGAAATCTGTACTGGAAGTATTAGAAACAGTGAGACGACCTCATAAAATAAGATTTTTCAAATACTAATCTTGAAAACTTTGAGCTGGCAAAAGGCATAGGATGCCTTACGTTGATAAAGATATCACGAGAAAATTGGAAAGAATGATTTCTAATATTAAAAAATTGAATATTATCACCGTTGGCTTAGTTATAAGAACAAGGATACATCGAACTATAGTCTTTTTGGCTCTTTGTTGGTCGGGTTTCACAAAATATCGGGGTATAGCAAAAGAACAAAGTTACCAGTTCTACTATTCGTAATTTTGCCATGTTTAGCATGTGTCTATTATTTTTATAAAATTTTATCCCACCATTCTACCTCTGCACATCATATTCTTCTTTGTAGCTTTTAAGCTCTAAAAGCTTTGTATGTATGTCTGCCCATTTTGAGTGTAGACTACAATTTAAGAAAAAAGAGTTGAGCTGAACTACAATTTGCAGTTTTATTGTTTACTCGGTAGCTAAGCAATCGACGAAGCTGTAGTTATTTTGTTTCCACGTCTGCTTTATTCTGCTTGTTTTTGAGAAAATTTTTTTTGTATTTTTTAACCTAAAAGGAAACATTTGATTGGAACAAAGCTCGTTATCTAAGTGGTGTCAACTTTGTTTTCATCGTTTTACTCTTTTATATTTCAGATGAATATGAAACCTGTTAAGCTGATTTTTTTTAAAGAATATAGGATTCGTAAATGTAATTAAAAACATTTTCGACGACAGCATCCATGAGGGTTTTTTTTTTGAAATATGCATATCCAGCCATTCTTTCACTTATTTCAGATTGCCAAATTCTCAAATGTTGTCGAAAAATGTATAGTAATAGCAGGTTGTTGCAGAGTTCTGTCATCGTTTTTGACAAATCATAACTTCTTGCCCTCTCAACAAATTTGCACAAACTTAATTTTGTTAGATAAAGAAAGCCCTTCTCTTTGTGATATTTCCTTTGTTGCTCTTTAATAAGAGGTAGCTTTCGAAAAGGAAACAAAGGAGTCAAATTACTCCAGATTCTGTCATGAGTTAGGCCCCGGGCAGACTTCACGCGATTTGATCGTCGCGACTGAGTCGCGACGAGACAACTGTTACAACATCATTCCATGCCGATCAACTTGCATTCGGTTGTGATACTTTTCCAGCCCGACATTTTTGAATGTGAAATGAAAATGAATGGAAATCTTGGCGATTAGATCGCGACGATCAAATCGCGTGAAGTCTGACCGAGGCCTTAGGCTACTAAAAATCTAAAACTTGCGATAAAATTCCGAGCAAGCAGTATAGTGAGTCTTTTGATCCACGGTTTCCAACAGTGCAAAGTTTGTGTTAAGAAAGCATCTTTGTAAAGAGTTATGATTTTTGGATGAACTATGCAAAACAGCAAATTCGATTTTTTTGACATTTTTTTTTCGAAAATCATAACTCTCCATGGAAATGCTCTTTTGACATAAACTCTGCACTGTTGAGAGCTGTCGACCAAAATACTTACTATACTGCTTGCTCGGAATTCTAACGCAAGTTTCAGATTCTTAGCAGCCTAACTCAAAATTTCAAATTTGAAGTAATTTCATTCTCTTGCTCCCATTCCAAAAGCTATTTCTTATTAGAGAGCTGCGAAGACACTATCACAAAGAGAGGTTTTCTCTGCCTAATAAAATCAAGCTTGTGCGAATCCTTTGTAAGAAAGACGTTACCATTCCTCAAAAATGATGCGACAGAAATTTTTTGGAGAATTTTTAGAGATTTTGGTCGAGGGTCAAAGGGGACTTGGTAAAAATTCGAGAAAGTAAAGGGAGACTTTGTTTTTTGCATTTTCATCTAGCCATCTCGTGCCGAGCCCTGATCTTTACAACTCAATGTTCCTTGAGAATTTTTCTATTTAAAGACGATCTTTACAACAATATTGGTGTTGTGGATTAGTACAAGGAAATGGAAGCAGATGAAGGAAACTACTTAGATTGTCATTTTTGAGAGTAAAAAATAAATTGCAAGTTTATGGTTTCACATTACAAGAAACCACCACTTTGTAAGGAAATTTCTACTGCGTCCAGGATTCATCTTGGAGATTTTTGGTATTTCCTAAAGCAATCTTGAGTAAACCTCTTTATCTGCTTGTAACTCTTGCACTTTCTCATATTACCCCGGGCGAGGGTAACGTTGCAGTGAGAAATTTTTACTCAAAGAACTTTTGGTATTTCTATGATGTTTTTTAGAAAGTCTAAATCTGAATAATCGCTATTCGTTTGCTTTCAAATCTCGCATCTACTTGTACTAGGTCAACCTAAGGAAACTGCTGTGAAGCTTGTGATTTCCGCTTCCAAGCAATTAATTCAAAGAATTTTATCAAGAGGCGAAAAGCTATGATTTTATGAAAATGTGCGAACACATTTTTGGACCATTCGAATATGTGAAGGTGCTGCAAATTTTTCAAAATGAAAATAAAGAATGTTACGAGAAGAAAAAAAACTTCGATGTTGCCTGATAATTTTCTGTGCAAATTGAATTGTGCAACAGTCAATAGAAAATTTTCATTATCTGCAAATTGTACATTGATGAAAAGCTCTATTTTTGGATACTTCCTGGTCTATCGTCTCGCTCCGCCCCTTTCTAGCGCTCACCCTTGCCGAGATCTTCCTTTTTGCTTGCTCCGACACCGTCTTGAGGTATCGAACATTGTTGTGTTGTTCAAAACATTTTTTCTAGAAATTCTATACTGTCAATGTCTTGACAAGATTTTCCATAAAAAGTATTTCTGTATTCCCGCTTTTTTGCAGAAATTTTTGCAAAAAACTCTTGCTGCCCATTTCCCTCCTACAAAACAACTCAAGTCAGTAATATTACAGGCATAAGCTCCTCATAATTTGATTGTTACGTCTGGTATCAACCTAATCTGTAATTACGAATTGTACGAATTGTCAATATATACAGCGACTAATTCAGCTGCTTTTGCAAGAAGCTCGAATCTGTATTTTTAAAAATAGCTTACAACAAAAACCAACTACAAGCATTTGATCCTCTCCTCCTGCCTATTTAGATTTCCTGTTCAATTCTAGGCCAATTTGTACACAATCTGGAAAGTTTGTAGCGTTTTGTTCTTCTCAGCGGTTAAAAGCTGCTTTAGAGATTTTAGTTGTGATAGTCCGTTCCTCTGCACTTTGAATGTCTCCACTCATTGTTTGCAAGCCCGATAAAAATGAGAGAAATGAGAACGAAGAGGTTTTGACTAACTTTAGAGAAGGTTGGTAGTTTGCGTTGTTATTTCACAATGATTAGCGACACCATACTAAATATTAGGTTGTCCCGAAAGTTTTGTCCGTTTTTTCAAACCACTATAAAACCACGCACGATAAAGATCTGAATGAGTTTCGACATGCATTCGATGCAGCTTCTCCTTCTCTTTTTTAATGTTACATTTCCGAAATAAATTCTTGTATACGTACTTTTTTGATAATTTCCAAAGTTTCTCGACCCATCAATTTTATCTGTTCAAAGTTAGGCTAATTTTTGAAAATTTCATTCCAAAGTTTCGGAAGGATGTTAAGTAGATGTCAAGTAGGGCGATTCTCGGACTACAAGAATATATTCTTAGATTCTCCCAATCTGCTGTTTTCAGCTTCAAATAATCATTTCTTCAGAGGTTTCGATTTTTTGGCAAAATCATGAAACACGCAACTGCAGCAAATACACGGAAGTTTTCAAAGTTTCTGCGAATTGAAAAATGATTCTTATCAAACACTTATGCAACATAACCAAGTTTGATTTGCCTTAAACAAGCAGCTTTTTGGAATTTTCAGTACTTTCACGTGGTAAACGTATTCAAAAAGCCGCGGTTTTTATTGTATAAATAATTATAACGGACTTGGTAAACGTGGCCCATGTAATCCAAAATGAATACAATGTAGCCAAAGGGTTTGCTCTACGTAATATTTACCAGCGCTCTTTGAAATCATCAGGATATCTATAATTCAAGAAAGATTTGGCGTTACTGCTGAGCTACTCAAAGAGCCACGGCGATAACGTTGCAAAGACATGATAGAACAGAGAGCAAATACAGATGTAAGAAAGAGGATAGAAATCTAAATCAAATGATACCTAGGTGGCCCATAGATTGCTGTTCTGTGAGTTTTAGTGAACGATGAAAAACGGACAAAACTTTCGGGACAACCTAATAGTACTTTCCTGTAGTCATTTTCATAAAAGGCACCACAAAATCACCTTCGTTTCGCTGTTTCTATTAACTCTGAAACCGGGATAACTTGGAAAAACTCGAAAATTTTTCAAACAGTTTCAACAAAGCCAGCCGACTTTGTAGTTGGTTT